CCTAATCTCCGGACCTGGATCTAAACGTCCCAGGCCTCCGGCCTCAGCGGATATTGAAGTTCTTAAAAGGAGGGGTCTTATCAATCATGGGTCTACATTATCAAGCTCAACCAAGGTTTGTCAAGATTCTCTCACAGCATCCTGCCACACGGAGGGATATTGGGGACTATAGAAATTATAGGGGTTATAGGGGTTATTAGGGAATTACGGGGAAATTAGTGGATATTAAGGATTATATGGATTATATCAGTACATCCTGCTACAAGGTGGAAACTTGCCCTGGGAGCAGCTACATACTCCCTGCCGGCGGAAGGACACAGTGACTCTGAAAATCCTGCATGACCCCTAAAACATTGGGAATGATGGTACTATAGTATATATTGGGTTATATAGGGATAATGGAAAAGAACATGGAAGCTACTACAGTATATGTAGTCTACTTAGGTCATGCAGGATTTTCCGTATACCCTAAACCCTAAACCCTAAACCCTAAACAACAGTAGTGCCACAAGTCTTGGAAGATGCTTGCGACTTGGCTCATTACTCGCCCCCAAAGGTAGTTTCCATACATAAGGGGGATCCCAGTCAGCTGGGTTTAGGGTTTAGGGCTTAGGGTTTAGGGTTTAGGGTTTAGGGCATGATCCTTTATTATGGGAAAAATAAAACCCTCAATAGTAGTTTCCATTTTTTTTAATTATCCCAATATATCCCCTAAAGAATGCCTATATCCCTATATAAGGACATTAAAAAAAGAATCCCTAATCTTGGCAGACCCCCAGGAGACTTGCAATTTCCTGACTATGTGCCAACCTCAGAGCTGAAGAAGCTGATCGAAGCCGGAGGAGCAACATGAGCTATAGTCCAAACTCCTTAACAGGGGGTTATATAGGGATTGTATAGGGGAGTATTATAGGGGTTACGAAGGGGGATACTTAAAGTTTAGACTATAGCTCACATGCTCAGTGAATCTCAGCAACACTGCATGCTCAACTTCCATACCAAAAGTCATTCACAAACTCGGCTGATCTGCTTCAATCGCATATCCCACCAAGTCCAGAAGTTTCGGATAGTAGGGTTCTATAGGGTAATATAGGGTAACATGCGGTAATATAGGGTTCTATCGGGGTCTATAGCGGTATATAGGGGTATATAGAAGTCTACAAAGAATATCAGAGCACAGCTCAGTGTCAGCGTGGTCTCGTCAGGTCCCTCGGTTTGCAGCGTCGGAAGGATGCCTCCCGGAAGCCTCAGAGGCCTCTCGGGGAGTTTTCCCAAAGCATATCAGGGTTTCCCAAAATTAGGGGTACAATTTTGGGGGTTCCATATTAAGGATTATAGTATATTGGGTCTGTATGGGGGTCCCCGTATTCAAGTTTCGGGGTTTTGCTTGACAATGCTTTGGCTGTTTGTGTGCTTTTTCTTAGTGCGACCTCGCAGTGTGCTTGGAGCTACATGGAATCCCCGAGCGCCCTCCATGACAGATTAACTGATTGGCGTAAGAGGTGTTACTAACACTTTTGTGAGACAAGCTGTCCATCATAGCATGTCATACTCCGTAAACCACTACGTATTCCTAGTTTTAGTTGGTTTTCAATTTCGTCTCCATTTGATCTTTGGTTACTGGCATAATATCTCTATATCCCTGCATAGATCCTATAGATGTATATAGTAGTTCCCATTATTTAATGTTCTGTTTCCTTTTCCATTTGATTCTCCAGTATCGGGCTAATATCCCTAATCCGAAAACCTTGAACCCTAGGTAGTAGTTTCAATCGTCATTTCCATTACCATATTTGCCCTAAATAATCCCTATAATCCCCTATAATCGCTCTAATCCCTTAATATCCCTATAATCCCTATAATCTTTATAATCCCCTAATATCCGTAATTCCTCACGGCGAGGCAGAGCCAGTTTACTCAACCAACGAGTTGGATCTGAACCTGAAAGCTGCAGCTGTTTCGGGTATTGTTGCCAGAGGCTCGGGCGCGTGCATGCTGCAACCAATGCTTCCTGAATAGATTATAGATTATATAGGGATGAAAGTCTTTTATTCCCTGCCAAAAGCCTGTAGGTAAACCCTAAACTCTGAACCCGAAACCCCAACCTGTTATGCGCCTGCTGTACAGACCTCAAAGATCCGTAGGGTTAAACAAAGCAGACAGGTCTTCAGTGTGTTCGTCAGCACTGGGGACAGGGCCGAGGAGCACTTTCTTGTGCGAAAGGCAGCGCATCCAGAAGTTTCTTGTACACATCCTTGTTTTTTGTAGCGCATTTCTGTCTTGGTCTACGTAAGACCTTATGCTATATGACCTGCTGGGCCCAATAGACCATGTAATTTGTGAAAATGGGAAGCCCCAGGCCAGAATGCTAGACAGCATCACGCTTGTAGATTGCTGGAATAAAAGGAGACAAGGGACAGTGCGGGAGGAGTCTCGCTTCGCCGCCCGCCTGAGACACTGGATGTGCCGCGCAAGGTGCCTCTGACACACGAGCTCTTATCTTTCCGTGGTCCATGTGCTTGCAATGCTCCAACAGTCAGGTCAGTATTTGGCCGGGACTTCTTGGTCTTCGTGGATTCGGAGCGGGCCAGACAACGCTGGGAAGGCGGTTGACAGATGCGTTTCATGCAACTGCGCAGTGCTGTCCATCTTATGAGAGCAGGCCTATCCTGCCAGCGTGGTATCTCTGCACGCACAGAATGAGAGTGCCCCATGAGGTGAGTATGGCGTGACCCCGTTCTTCTCCCAGTCATGGATCCAGGAAGGACGGGCACTGATATGCGATCAGGGTGAATGGTGCCACTGGCAGGAATCCTTCTCTGGGCCGGCGGCAGACGAGATTCACGATACGAACTATTGGCGTCCTCCCCTTAAACCAGCGCCAGATTCAGGTCACTTCGTTGCAACCGGACTGTTACAAGTAAGGCTGGGTTGCGACGCGCCCTCAGCTGTTTTCCATTCACACCCAGCGTTCGCCCAGCAGCGCGAAGCAAATCGCATGTCCAATTTGTACCATGACCCATGGTCTAAACTCCTTAAAGGGGGGCTATGTAGGGGATTATATATGGGACTTGTATGGGGGTTATTAAGGGGGATACTAGGAGTTTAGACAATGGCTCAATGGCTGCTTGGTTGAGGATGGAGTCCATCCTTCGGGCTGGGTACAGTGCTCTCTATGTTGACACTGCCACGCAGCTGCAGAGTGCTTGCATGTTGATATGCAAAGTTTGCCTTACTGGTGGATTGCACATACTACAAGACCTTCTCAAGATGATCTGTATACACACCGAGTGAGGATCCCACAAATACGCCCGTATCAATCCTAATAGACACACCCATCATCCCACAACCCAAAACCCTCTATGATCCCTAAACCCCCTCTGTCAAGCCTGCACCCAAAACCCTGGGGCCCTAGATCCAACAACCCTGAACCCTAACCTGCGCGATACGCCGGGTCCCTAAGGATATCCTGTGGCTTGCGGATCCGCGTCCGCACCTGGCGGCGCTACCAAAGGAGACAGACTTCTTTGGCTCCTTAGACTGAGCATGGACCACAGGGTCTGGAGAAATGCCGCGTGAACCCTTTGAAGTACCCCCGAAACCATGCACTGCCTAAGGCTATCTCATTTTGAGAAAAGTGTAATTGTTTTTTTGGGAATATCTACGTCCATGAGAGAGTGGACGAATGCTTGCGAGCAACGTATTGTCTGTAGTGCAGTCCGGCTTGAGCTGGGGAATGAGCTGACGCACGGTACCCTTGTTGCATGTTTGCTTGGTCTGCCTATCTTTTGCAAATGATGTGGCGGACGGCGCATGCTGTTTACTAGAGTGCCCTGACCTGCTCAGTGCGGGATGCTGGAGGGTTGCAAAAATGAGGGAGTGGACCTAAATGATTGTTCCGATACAATTTACGCCATTGGCCTTCATTCTGCCATTTTGGGGCCAAGGCTCCTGTGATGCGTATGATGGCAGAGATGGCAGAATCAAGCCGCAGCCTCTGGCGGAATGACAATGGTGGTGGTAGTGGTAGTGGCGGTAGTAGTAGTGGTGGTGGTAGTA